TTGAACAGCACTCAGGAGCACGGGACAGGGCTTCTCCTCCTCCCCAAGGCATCACTCCTACGTCAGACGCAACCAGAGACTCCCAGTGCCAACTGCGCCCCAACTCCCAGCCACTCCACCCCCTGCCAGGCTTCTGTTAGGTGCACAACCGGAAAACCAGATAATACCGGACATTGCACATGTCTGGTATTTTCTGAATATTTTTACCGGACAGATGGCCCAAAAACCAGACTGTCTGATTGAATACCAGACACCTGGCAACCCTAGATGAAATTCATATTCGGGTACTTAAGAAACTAGCCAGAACAATCTCAGAACTGTTTGTGATTATGTTTAAGAACCATGGACAAGTAAGCTCCCAGAGGACTGGAGAAAGGCAAGAGTTAGGGCAATAAAGAGGACCTAGAGCAAGGATGGGCAATAATTTTTGGTGAGGCCACTCAAAAGATTTTGAAAATGGTCAATGGCTGCACTTTTCTGTGGAGGAAAATGGTCAATGGCCTCACTTTTCTGTGGAGAAGGTGCAGGGTCTAGTATAGAAGTTGGGTGCAGAAGGGCGCACAGGGCAAGGGACTGGGGTGCAGGAGATGGCGTGAGGTCTGAGAGGGAGTTTGGGTCAAGGAGCGGGCTGTGATCTGCGTCAGGGGGTTGGGTGCAGGATCTGGGAGGGTGTTTGGGTGCAGGAGAGGATTCTGGCCTGGGGGAGAGGTGCAGGAAGGGGTACAGAGTCTGGGAGGGAGTTGTGATCTGGGGCAGGAGAGTGCAGAGGGTTTGGATGGTGAGCTGGGGCAGGGAGTTAGGGAGAAAGTGGAGTTGGGGTGCCAGAGACAGGCTGTGGTTGGGAGGTGCTAACCTAGGCAGCTCCTGGCTAGCAGCCCTGCAGGAACCCGAGGCAGGCTCCCTGCTTCCTATAGCCATAGTAAGAGACTTGCACTACCCCAACCCCCAGGCCAATCTCAACTCCTATTGGTTGGTTGTTTCCAGGAGCTGAGGATTGGGTTGGGGCAGAGAAATCACATGACTCCTCCTCTTCCCTCCAGAGTAAAGAGCTGCAAGACTGTGCTTTAAATCTGCGGCAACTGTGTTCCTGAAGGTCCCAGCAGGGTGGGCCACGGGCCGGATCTGGTGTTTTCACTGGCCAGAACCAGCCCCTGGGCCGTATTTTGCCTAGCCCTGACCTAGAGAATTATAGACCAGACAGCCTAACTTAGATATATGAAAGAATTGCGAATATATTAAGTAATACATTCGTAAGCACCTAGGGTACGTCTAAACTACATGCCTCCGTCGACCCCTACAGGATAATAGGGTGAAAAAGAATAGCCAGTATGCATTTATCGAGAAGGAATCATGCCAACTCCAACCAAATTTCCTTCTTTGACTGACTGGTTGGGGTGGAAGCTGTAGACACAATGTATTTAGATTTCTGAAAGCCTTTAAACACAGTCCCACATAACATTCTTATAAGCACACTACGGTAATGTAGTCTAGAATAAATTACTATAATGTGGTCTAAATCCAGGTCTACACTAGACCCAGCAGCTTGGCTTAAGGATGCAACTCCAGCTACGTATTCTACATAGCTGTAGTCATCTGATCTTAAACTGAGCTTGGCAGCATCCCTGCAGCAGGAGGTTGATGGGAGCAAACATTTCCATCAGCTTCCCTTACTCCTGGCAAGAGCAGAAGTACCAGCTGCTGGTAGAGTTACCCTCTGTGTTCAATTTAGCGAGTCTTAACTAGACTCGCTAAATCAAACTCCAGAATATCGATCATGGCAGCATCAAACTTCTGCAGAGTGAAGACATGCCCTTAGTATAATTGGTTTTGCCACAGTGCAGGGAGCTGGTCTAATTGTCCTCTTGAGGTCCCTTCCAGCCTCACATTTTTATGAACTGCCCAGCACACACTCAACAACTCAAGGGGGAAATCACTTCTATCCCCACAAGGGGTCAACTTTTACACATGCCACATTTTCAGATTTTAAACTTACTTTTCTGCCACCGCCTGCAGGATTGGGTATGTTATTGTGTGATCTCCACCTGCAACAGGACAGGGAACAGAGAACACGCCAGATAATAAGAACAGGCTGGCATTGATCAAATATAATTTTCCAGCCGTAGCAAGCTTCATTCATAATGCACCTCTCCTCCTGTAGGGGAACACATCAGCACTTTACAAAGAGAGATCATCCTCTATTCATCTAACTGCCATCTCAGCAGCTCTACATTGGTGGCAGATAAGAGAAATTGCCCCTTTTTAATACTAAAAGCTCTCAAAAATCCACCCAGCTTTTGTTCTCTTGCTGCAGCTGGTACTCAAGGCCAACTTCTAAATGTAGATATTAGGCATGCAGATGAATATTCAGGAGATGCTTCATCCACTGCTTGCAGCTACTTCTGGGGTGTCTCGCAGCTGAGATTTAACAACCCACAGCAACTCTAAACAATAGCTGAGGAGTAGAATAACACAGTTATGTCTTTGAAACTTCAATGGGAATTACCCAAACTGGAATGGATTCAGGACCCAGACACTTATCTCTTGCAAGTGAGCACAAGCAGTCTGGAAATGTTTTACAATTTATCTGAAAGACTGCACCTCCAGGACTATACAGGGTGTTTGGCTCTCTGATTCAGAGGGAAGAACACTCCATATTGAGTCACCAGCACCACAGCAGTCTCCTGTGAGGTCTCCTTTAGGCATGTTAGCTATCGGGTAACTGAATAGTGGAGTAACCGCATGAATTTGTATCGGTTACTTGACTATTCTATAGTCCCCAGGGGTGGGGCCAGCAGCCAGTGCGCTCAGGCCCCACTCCCCACTCCCCCACGCTGTATCAGAGGCAGCAGTGCAGGGTGCCCAGCGGGAGCCAGTCTGCGAGGGGAACCAATTTAAAAGCAGCCCCTGCCTGTGGGGTGTCCGAGTTCCCTGCAGACAGAGGCTGCTCCTCCTCCCCTCTCTAAGGGGAG